GGATGTGCTGGTAGCGTTAGGTAGATCGATGTATCATCACTATAGCTCTTATGTGATGGTTGTCGGTTAGAGAAACTCCCACAAAAGTTATTGTATTTTATATACATCAGTTATTGTATTTTTACATACATTTCAGAGTTATGTTGTATCCTTGTATATACATAGAGTTGATATCATGTTTTTAAACAACTTTTCTTTATATTGCACTTGTTTTAAACTGCTTTATATTGAAATGAGTTCAGTTAAGTATTCATGAGTTGAGAAGAATCAAGGTAAGTGTTTCTTTCAGATTCCCTTTCAAGCCTATGTTGTTTTAGCATTCCAACTCGCATACTCGTACATTCAATGTACGGATGCCAGTTGGCCTGCATCGTCTTATGATGCAGACACAGGTAACTAAGATAGACATTTCGGCGCATCGTTGATCCAGTGAGCAGTTCAGAGTCTGTTGGTGAGCCTCCTTGCATTCCGGAGGATCCATTTCATTGTTTCCTAGTTTAGTTCATTAAGATGTTATGGGGTTTGTCCCAACATCCATCTAAGTTGTTATTAGAGGCATCATAGACAGTCAGATGTTAGTTCTTTAGTTTTTTCATTGTCATTATTCCATGTTGAGACTTGAGTTTGCCTTAATGGCCAGTTGAATGTTCCTTTATAACATTCCAGTTTATTATATGAACTTATCTTTGTTGAGTTTAAGTTTTCCGCTGAGTTAAGTAAGCCAGGCCAAGGGTTCGCTTGGGGCCAGCAATGGTCTTCGAGTGTCAGTCCCGCCCAAGGTGTAGGCTCGGGGTGTGACAATATTGGCGTTGAAAAAAACCCGACCATTCTTGGTTTGATTTGGCGTTGAAAATAAACTCGACAATTGTTTGTTTGGTTTTAACAAATAAAAGTCAAACCAGCCAAAACCAAACCAACATAATACAAATGTAATTTTTATTTTTTATAGGGAAAATGCATAAGTACCCCCCCCCCCCCAACCTATGGTGTTGAGGATTAAATAATTTATAATAGTGACAAACTCACTAAATTTGTATGCATGAGTAGGAATGTAGGATCAATTTTGCCTAACCACTTGAATGTAGGTGTTATTTGCAACTAGAGGGGGGGGGGGGGGGGGGGGGATTCCCTAATTGATGAGTTGGTACATATTACTTTCTTCGTTCCATATTAGTTGTCATGTTTTCTTTTTATACATTCTTTAAAAAAATGTAAATAAAAAGTATTTTATTTATTAATTTATCCTTTAACTCTTTTCAATGTAACTAATATTGTTTAATTTAAAAAATAATTAATTTTAAATACTCTAACTGGCTGAATTATATCCTATTTTGAGATAACTTATTAAAAGAAAGTATATTAATCATTTAGATAGTATATACCTAAAAAAATCATGGTCAAGATTATAACCATTCGTCAAGTATGTACTTTTATATGTTTTGGAAAAGAAATATAAATGGTTAAAATTAAATATAATTTAATAAAATAAGATAAAACATACTAATTTATTTTCTTTACTATTTTTTTTAAAAAATATTAGGACTGTGATCTCCTACCTAGTTTAATTATTCCTAAACCCTACCCTCATATTTTAAAAAATAAATAAAATATTTATAGGTCCATTCCCTAATTGATGAGTTGGTACATAGTAATTACTTTATTCGTTTCATATTAGTTGTCATTGTTTTCTTTTTATACATTCTTTTAAAAAATATAAATAAAAAGTATTTTATTTATTAATTTATCCTTAACTCTTTTCAATGTAACTAATATTGTTTAATTTAAAAAATAATTAATTTTAAATACTCTAACTGGCTGAATTATATCCTATTTTGAGATAACTTATTTAAAGAAAGTATATTAATCATTTAGATAGTATATACCTAAAAAAATCATGGTCAAGATTATAACCATTCGTCAAGTATGTACTTTTATATGTTTTGGAAAAGAAATATAAATGGTTAAAATTAAATATAATTTAATAAAATAAGATAAAACATACTAATTTATTTTCTTTACTATTTTTAAAAAAAAATATTAGGACTGTGATCCCCTACCTAGTTTAATTATTCCTAAACCCTACCCTCATATTTTAAAAAATAAATAAAATATTTATAGGTCCATTCCCTAATTGATGAGTTGGTACATAGTAATTACTTTATTCGTTTCATATTAGTTGTCATTGTTTTCTTTTTATACATTCTTTAAAAAAATATAAATAAAAAGTATTTTATTTATTAATTTATCCTTAACTCTTTTCAATGTAACTAATATTGTTTAATTTAAAAAATAATTAATTTTAAATACTCTAACTGGCTGAATTATATCCTATTTTGAGATAACTTATTTAAAGAAAGTATATTAATCATTTAGATAGTATATACCTAAAAAAATCATGGTCAAGATTATAACCATTCGTCAAGTATGTATTTTTATATGTTTTGGAAAAGAAATATAAATGGTTAAAATTAAATATAATTTAATAAAATAAGATATAACATACTAATTTATTTTCTTTACTATTTTTAAAAAAAATATTAGGACTGTGATCCCCTACCTAGTTTAATTATTCCTAAACCCTACCCTCATATTTTAAAAAATAAATAAAATATTTATAGGTCCATTCCCTAATTGATGAGTTGGTACATAGTAATTACTTTCTTCGTTCCATATTAGTTGTCATGTTTTCTTTTTATACATTCTTTAAAAAAATATAAATAAAAAGTATTTTATTTATTAATTTATCCTTAACTCTTTTCAATGTAACTAATATTGTTTAATTTAAAAAATAATTAATTTTAAATACTCTAACTGGCTGAATTATATCCTATTTTGAGATAACTTATTTAAAGAAAGTATATTAATCATTTAGATAGTATATACCTAAAAAATCATGATCAAAATTGTAACCATTCGTCAAAAGTATGTACTTTTATATGTTTGGAAAAGAAATATAAATGGTCAAAATTAAATATAATTTAATAAAATAAGATAAAACATACTAATTTGTTTTCTTTACTATTTAAAAAAAATTATTAGGACTGTGATCCCCTTCCTCATTTAATTTTCTAAACCCTACCCTCACTTTTTAAAAAATAAATAAAATATTTATAGGTCCATTCCCTAATTGGAATGTGCTAAATTATTTGGATGAGAACTCGATCCTAAGAAAGATCAATATTTAAAAAAAATATTAGGACTGTGATCCCCTGCCTCATTTAATTTTTCTTAAACCCTCCCTCATATTTTAAAAAATAAATAAAATATTTATCCCCTAATTAGAATGTGCTAAATTCTTGGATGAGAACTCGATCTTAAGAAAGATCAATCGCGTATCAAAAATAGATATTTTATTTTACTTTTTAATGAAAAAAAATAGATAGTTTTATTATGTTTTTTTCTTTCTTTCTACTCCTTAATATTAAATATTAAATAATTATATAAAGTAGTAAGTCAAGTTCAAAGTTTCGAAATATAATTAATAAGATTAATTTGGTTAAATACATTGGAGGTGTGCATCGGTCGGTTCAGTTCAGTTTTATGTATTATTGGTTCGATTTATCGGTTTTCGGTTTTTTTAAATATGTTAAACCAATAAGATATTTTTTATCGGTTTTGGTCCTTAACGATTCGGTTTTCGGTTTAACCAATAAGAAAATACTTATAAAATAAATATATGACTTTTCTAATAAATTTGATGTGAAAACCCAATAATGTAACTTTACAAATGATCATAAAATAGAAACAATAATAACAAACATGAAACGAACTATACAAGTGCAACACAAAGATAAATTAAGAAGAATAGGGTTCTTACTTTAGATTTTAACGTTTTGTATAATGTGAAATTGTGAACTCAAAGTCATTGTGAAGTGTGAATTGAAGGCTAAAGGACAAAGATAGTAACTAGTAAGATATTGAGCTTAATATATAATATTTAAGTACAAGTAAAAGTAGTAAATTACTAGTCTTAATGGGTTATCGGTTTACCCAATAACCCAATAAAAAAACAAATACCAAACCGATAACCCAATAATTTTTTTTATAAAACCATTAAAAACTTGTTAACCCAATGCCCAATAACAATAAACCATTAACACTTTTATCGGTTCGGTTTATCGGTCGGTTTAGTTTTTGCACACCCCTAAAATACATCTCTAATGAAAGTTTTTCTAACAGATGTGTCAAGTCAAGTAATATGAACTTGAAGGAGTACATAATGTTGACTACTTTACGTTTCAAAAATTCATTTTTAAGTGGAGAATTGTTTTTTTACCAATAAAGTAAAATTTGAGTTAACCAATCAAATTTGCTCTTAAGATTTAACAGAGGCGTATCCAAGATTTTAAGAGAATAAGTGTACTATTACGAAATGGATCTAAGATATAAATTTGACTGATTTTATCTTTAGATTCTTATCACTAAGCCCATTAAACTTCTAAAATTACAGGATTAAAATTAATTCTTGTCTATTCAAATAATACTTATATATGTGAGTTATATTTTCTAAAATTTGATATTTATAACCTCAAAATCTTAGTTCTGACTCAGTGTGCAACACCATAGATCTCCACCCTCAATAAAAGCTTATGTTTGTAATCAACCTTTTTATTCCCATAATATACTCTCCTTTTAGATTATGAAGTTCCTCCTCTATCTTGGTTTTGATATCACTTCACTTAACATGTTAATCCCTTCGTCTCATTTTATGCGTCACTCTTTTTTTATTAGTCAACTCCTTAAAAAATGATACATTTATATGTTTAGTAACAATTTAACTGATTTATTTGCAAAGACAAATTACAACATACTATTCCAAACAAAGGAACTCTAATAAGCTGATGGCATAGTAACATTGTAAGGATCACCAAATGTTGCAACATTGCCTGGCCTTGAAAATACAATCTACAAAGGTAAGAAGCACCACTTGATCAGTTGTTTTACTTCTCAAATTTGGTTAAACAGTTTCAACATTCATAGTAAAATAAAATGGAATATACCTGATAATCTCCTAGCATGTGCGTTTTGAATCCAGCAGCACAGTAATCAAAGTAGTACTCCCATGTCCTGATGAACTTGTCATCAAATCCCAAAGCATGGATTTGGCTATAGTGACAATGTTATCGATAGTCAAGTATCAGAAGTTAGAACTGATCAAGCTACAAATGATTCACGAAGAAATCGAGTTTACTCAGCATAGAAGGCTAGCTGTGGACTTATTTTAGTTTTGTTACCTTTTGTTTTTCAGGAAGTTTTTTCGCCAACATCTCAGTGTTTGATAGTAATGAACTCCTATATCTTCCAGGTGCATTACACTGCATTTTTATCATTTATCAGATTCATTTGAAAGATTGACAAGCATGTTAGAACGAAATCACAAAATCAAGTACTCTTTGTTACCATAGTCTGGATGCAGAAGCCATGGCTGATGTTACTCGACTTAATGCAGGCAAGCATCCACCTGGGAATATATACTCGTTTATGAAGCCTGCGCTGTGCCTGTATTCGTCATACATCGGGTCTGGCATTGAAATGAACTAAAGAAAGCCAGCACTTGTAGAAATCAGTACAAAGGAACAAGTGCAAGAAATGATATTATCTTAGTTCTTGTATTAGCAAGAGAATTTGAGTGATTTGAGAGTGCTCCTTCTCTCTTAATTTTCTAACAATTGAGCGAAAAAAGTGAACAAAGATTAAACTTTGATTCATTACCTGCAGAACTAGAAGCCCATCTTCTGTCAATGCTGACTCACAGCAACTAAAGAATTCCCCTATGAACTCATGACCAACATGTTCTAACACCTCACTGAAAATGATTATTAGTACAATTATAACACTGGCTCGACATGTAATGTATAATACAATATGTACAAATGTTGATGGATAAAAGCTCACCATACTATAATCCTGTCATATTTGTCCTGATTTGGCATTTGGCAATAGTCACATAGGACAAGTGTAATTTGATCCTGTGGAAAAATTCACTGAATTGAAATAATAATCGATACACTAGCTCTAAAATTACCCAAATTTGGCTTCAAGTCTTAAGCAGATCAGATCGTCTCCTTGCTAATCGTATGTTAGCATGTTAAGGAGCTCTTTATAATTTGCCTCAGTTTATAGCAATTGTATTGTCATACAAGCTTCATAGACATTGTAAGTAATATACCTGAAGACCTGCTTGCTCAACTCTCAACTGTGCATACTCCAGTTGCTCACCATACAAGCTTCATAGACATTGTAAGTAATATACCTGAAGACCTGCTTGCTCAACTCTCAACTGTGCATACTCCAGTTGCTGCTCGGAGAGTGTTATACCAGTATATTTACATCCTGTTTGCTTGACAACTTCCACGGCAAAACTTCCCCATCCAAATCCAATCTCTAAAATGTGATGTTCTTTGCTAATTTTTGCCTAAATAGAATAGAAGCAGAATCAAATTTAATTCAGTGAATTTTACTTAGTTGATGACTTACCTTTTCAATGAGAATAGACATCTTTCTCAGCTGTGCAACTTTAAGGTCTTCATCCTTACTCTACAAAAAATAAGAAAGAAAATTAGATAACCATGGAATGAGATTAGAGAACAGGACGGAAATGTAGTGAAACATAAATAACAAAAAAGTGGTCAGCATTTAAAAGTTTGAGAGCTAACCTTGAATATTGCACATGAGTATAGCATCGTCTCATCCAAAAAGAGTGAGAAGAGTTCATTACTCTGGAAATAAACAATTAACACCACAATGCTTAGCATCTATACAATGGCATCCCAGTTTACATCATAGCAACTGACAAAATCATGGTCAGGATTGAGTACTTAAATTACCAGGTCATAATGACGAGAGATATTCCTACGAGCCTGAGTAAGGGTGTTTCGATTTGAAACATGACGAATGAAATATGTTGCAGATGACAGTGCTGCTGTAAAAATAACTGGTGTCCACCAGCCTCTAGAGCCATGAAAAGTCATGAAGAGCTTTAAGATGTGAACAGAAATTTATATTTCTTGATTCAAAGTCAGTAAACTATTTTACCTCTTCTTGCTAGATGTTCCAACAGATGCTTTCAAATCTCTGTTGGCAATAAATATCTGCAAAAAGAACTCGGGGAAGCTAAGTACCAACCAAAAGCTATTTACAAAGATATCGAGTCATTTCCTCACCATGATAAGATTAAGAAGACCTTCGTTCTTATCAACGAAAGAGAAATCTCCATGAATAAAAGCATCAGCAAGACCTATGTCAGCTCGAGTTGCAACCTGTAAGAGATTGGGAAACTTTTCAATTTTTTTGGGTTAAGTTTTTTATCACTTGTAGCCTGTAGGGGCAAAGGAAATTTCACTTTACCTTCCAGTAAAACTGCATACTATGAACTCTAAGAGAAACTTTGAGAGAGCATTTCCTCTCCGTGCCTTGGAACGTGAAAATTGTACCTCCTTCTTCCAGCAAGCTGTATATCCAAACATATAAAACCATTATCCAGATATCAAAAATCTCCAAGTAGTAAAATATATAGCAATTCACACACTAGATTTGTCTTGCAGCATGATTTTCGACTAGTATATGATCTTTAAGCCGACGATATTGGACAAAAAGAAGTGTACTTTCTAAATAAAGAATGTCATTCTACATTATGCTACCATTCAAATAGCAAGATCATAAATGTGATCAAATAAGAAATAAATCATGGAAATAAACAAATTGTCAGACATGTCTCTGCTGCTATTTTGGGATCATCACTCACATTTGCATCCTGTTTGGATGAAACTTTTGAAAAATCTCGTAACGAGAAGGCGTGCGCCTGTTTCAGTCCATGTTGGTAACAATTCCATTTGAAGCAACCACACCTACCTGAGGAGGATAAAAGGTAGACAATCACCCTAGGACTAACAGAGAACTTCAAAAAGTCCAGAGAAAGAAGTTTTATTGTTTCATAGAGTGTGTAATGTGGAGTTTTCTTTTGGCCAAGTGGAGTCCATCCTATATAGACATAAGCCTATTTCCCAATATCTAGATACAAGATCATCCTATATAGACATAAGCCTATTATCCATATCTAGATACAAGATCATCATTGGAGGCAAAGTTTAAACCAGGCATAATACATAAATGTGTCCTTTAACTTGGTCTCGTTTCACGTTTATGCCCTTCAACTTTGAGTGTGCACAAGTAGACCGCTAAACTTGTATAAAGTTGAAAAAATAGACACATAAGTCCTACATGACATAATACACATAGAACACCACATAGGACTCAAATTACCATGTACGATGTCACATAGGAAGTGTGTGTCTATTGTTCAATTTTATATAAGTTTAAGTGTCTACTTGTGAACACACAAAGTTGGAGGGCATAAATGTGAGCTGAGACCAAGTAATGTATTATGCATTTAAACAAGTGGTGGAAATTTCTTTGCATAGTTGGTCATTTGCCTTTGTGAACTTGCTGGGCTAGGTTCAATCCCTCCTATAAATAAGGCTGTTGCTATTCTCTTCAAACACACCAATTCAAGAGCATTTTGTTCTCTCAAGTCTCATCTTTCTCCTCCTCCTCCTTCATTGAGAGTATTTCGTAACTGAGTAAGTGTTGGAAAATACTTATATGAACTTCTTCTTTGGAGTGATCTTGTGAGGTTATTCTCTCGGGATTTTTTAGGTTAATTAGAGTATTATCTCTAATCATGTACCCTATGTTGTACTTTTGTTGATATAGTGAAATTGCTCCTTTCCACTTGTGGACGTATTGACTACCCTGTCGTCCATGCTAAGTAATTCCAATGGATTATGGATAGGATCGTAGGGTACAAATCTATTGAACCTTTGGAAATTGGACTTATTAGCATTGCACACATAATATAGGATAAAAATTTGAGATAATCATACGAAAATTTGTAGTAATAAATCCAATATCTGATACAAAATTCATAAATTTTGAAAATAAAAACAAAAGCTCAATTCATAATCCAAAAAAAAAAAAAAAAGGATTTTCGATTTGAAAACTATGCACACCCCTGTACAAAACTATAATCTGAAACAGAGGATTTTCTCATTAGTAATTTCAGCCTTGAGTCATCTTTGCTGGTACCATTTTCAGTCAGAAAATTGCAAAATTTCATCTTGAGCAAACTATCAAAACCATATTTAAAGTATCTTGATTTTTTTAAGTTATACTTGAATTACCAGGCGTGTGAGTTTCCTACCTAAACTATTACCAAATGTTTATCAAAACACATCTGAACTATAGGTTGTTTGGGTTTCATATCTAAAATTTCAGTTAGGAAAAGTGAATAACAGATAATTCAGGTGTATTTCGATAAATATTTACAACAAAAACAGTTTTTAGCAGCAACAAATATACACATAATTTCACTAATTACCTCTAAAAATACATATTTAACGGCAATTACACTATTGTCGTTAATCAATTAGATCATTTTTGGTGTAGTGAGTTCAGATAGAAAATTCACACACCTAATAGTTCAATTATAAAACTAAAAAACCGAGATATTTTAAATATGTTTTTATCCTTAACTCTGAAAACAATAACATATTTAGTGTAATTTCACGAGATCTAAACATGTGACAAGTAATCTCAATTATATTAACAAAATAGAAACGTATTTCCAAACATGCCACATGAATAGGAGTCTATACATATGAGAGATAAAAGTCTTTAGATAGTTGAAAAACAAGGTATAATCTCCGAATATTAAATTTTGTCCACCACCCCTAGTCGAGATGGTTAAAAAAAAAAGTGAGTAGAGTGACAAATAATAATATCTCCGTAGATTTGTTTGTCGTGTTTTAATTCATTTCAAAAGAATATCTCTTTTTTTCTTTTTGGCAACTTGTTGATTCTATGTTTCCACGTAACATTTTTAAGACCACAAGATTAAAGGATATTTTGGTACATTCGTTACTAAAAAAATCACTATTTTCCTATTAAAAATTTTCACTCAAAAATGTTCACCGGCTAATTTGACCAATATTTTGATTGAATCGGTGAGAAAATAAAAAAAAATTAATACACACGAAAAAAATTAGGAATTTGTTTTTCACTATGCGTTTTTCTAGTGAACTGGTTCGGTGGAAAATGAGTAGAAAAACATGTTTTATAACACAATTTTTTTTATTTACAGTGGGAAAAACCTCTATTTCTAGTAATGATTTGACATGTCTTTAATTTAAGACCATAATATTCATAAGTCTTCTCTATTTTTTTAAACATCGCATAAAACAACAGACAAACAAATTGAAATTGATAAATTATAAAAATCACAACCCTAACCCCAAAACCCTAAATCACCAAAACATTAAAGTCAATAAGGACGAACACAACAACCAAAACACTTGAAAATGTATATAAAAAGTTACAGAAAAAGGCCACTCCACATTTAGGGCCACCCCCTCAAGCACATGCAACAATAACACATAAAGTTAAAAGTCAAGATTAAAGTCACAAGCCCCATATGGAACTGAATACATATAAGTAATATAGTTGTATCAGCTTGTATATATCAGCATGTATGTACCGTACGTATACAATTTGTATCAGTCTGTATTTTTTGTATTGCAAATAAATACAAGCAATATAAGAGTAAACGAATACAAGTGATACAACCTGTATTAGCTTGTATGTATCGAATATAGCCTGCATCAGACTGTGACACTTTTGAGTGTTGATATTCAAAATGAAATATGAGTGTTGGTATCCATTTTTCCGGCAAAAAAAATGGAGGGAGGTGATTGTAGATTTAGAAAAGTAATACAATAAAGAAGAAGAAAAAAGACTTGAAAACGGATTTGAATAAAAAATTCGACCTCCATTGAAGGAGTTTAAGCTTCAAAAAATGATGGGAGGTGGTGGCTTGAAAAATGGAGAAGAAGAAGAGAAAATAAAATAAAAAATAGCTAAATTAAGTCTTTCACACTCTATTGTTGAGTGTATCACACTCACTTTGACATGTTAGCAAAAAGTGTCAAAATGACACAACGGACCCTACATGGGGTGTCTAAAATGAACATCGTCCAGTTGAGGTGTCTAAGTGAAACTTAGTGCCAACTTTAGGGGGTCACCGATGGGTTTGGCCTTAATTCGTTGATACAACATATGTATTCAACGAACACAACATGTATCTAGCATATATCTTCTCTCTTTCTCAAATCTCGTTCGCCTCTCGCCTCTTGTCTCTTGCTATGAATAGTAAATACACAAACTATAGCTATAGATTTCTAATTAGGGCCAAACTAGTCATTTTTAAGATTTCATACTTCTTTTATAATATGGTGAAGTTGATTCATGTCCCTTTAGGCAAGTAACTCAATATTCAACAAAGTGCACCATTTAACCTTTCTAGGTTAGAGGTGCAAACAAATTATATTAGTGTATAATTCTGGAAAATATGTACACAAAATGCCTAGTTTGCGGAGAAACCATGAATACACATGCACTAAACTTGCCTATAATCCGCCCATAATTTTATGCACGTATTGTTCTAAGTTATCCATATATTAATGGTAAAAAATAACCTTGAACTATTTGAAACAGATCAAGTCTAGTTGGATGGCATTTTTGAGCTAGTTGATTAACGATTTGAGTCAAAAACATAACGGAGGATAAAATTAACCTATCTCGAATAGTTCAGGGGTATTTTAGTCCTGTTCCCTTTTATTTTAACCATAAAGAAATCATGAGAATACACTCATAAACCATATAAAGGGTAAGAATCATGTCTTTCATGGATTAACAAATGTTGAGATTCATAGCTTCTCAACTTACAATGCCTTTGTTCTTCAAGATTTCCCTCTTTTTCTTCTTTTTCTTCTTTTTCTTCTTTGTTAGTTCATCCTCCCCTCTTGATAACAACCACCCATTGGTGTCTCTCACTCTATTTGAACTCACTCAAGTAACAAACATAGTCAAAAATTCCTATTTTCCCCTCAATGTAACTTTTCATTACGTTGGCTTAAACGAACCAAACAAACAATTAGTCCTTTCATGGCTATCATCCACTCATCATCCTGCTCTACCTCGCGAAGCTATTGTTATAACTCGAATTGATCAAAAAACACATGAAATCATCGTAGACTTATCGAGTGTTTCAATTTTATCAGATAAAATCTATAATGGACATGGCTACCCCATGCTTACATTACAAGAGCAAACAGTTGCCGATGAGTTACCATTATCGTATCCACCATTTATATCGTCCATTAAAAAGAGAAGGCTGAAGCTAAAAGAAGTCGCGTGCCAAGGCTATCCTGTTGGATGGTATGGAGAGAAAAGGAAGAGTACTAATAGAATGGTTAAAGTCATTTGCTATTACTTAGATGGAACAATTAATCTTTATATGAGACCTATTGAAGGAATTACAATTATTGTTCTTCTTGATCAAATGACAATCGTGAGTTATATTGATCGTTTGATTGTTCCTGTCCCTAAAGCTAATGGGACAGATTACATGGGATCAAAGCGGTGGAGATCATCTCATGAATCCAATTCAATAAAAATAGTGCAGCCTGATGGACCAAGTTTTACTCTAGACAACGGAAACACAGTGAGGTAAAGAGTATACTCACTATGTTTCAATATATTTGTCTTACTTTCCTTTTTAGTCCGTTCTGGTACATTCTACAATATATCTTCTCTCTTTAAGACCAAAATATTCAAAAGTCTTCTTTACTTTCTTAAACTCAGTGTCAAGTCAAAACTAGACAAACAAATTGAAACGGAGGGCTTTGAGAATACTATCTTTTGGTGAAGAATGACATGTTTTTTTCTTGCTTTAGGTGGGTCGATTGGAAGTTCCATGTAGCGTATGACATGAGAGTGGGAATAATCATATCACTAGCATCGATCTTCGATGCTGACAAGGAGGAATTTAGAAGTGTCTTGTACAGAGGATTTGTGTCTGAAGTTTTTGTGCCATACATGGATTTGACTGAGGAATGGTACTATAGGACTTATTTCGATGCAGGTGAATATGGATTTGGTCTATGTGCGGTAGAGCTTGAAGCATCAAAGGATTGTCCAGAGAACGCGAAGTTTATTGATGGCTACTTCATTTCACAAGATGGTACTCCAGGAAAAATGCCTAATGTAATTTGTATATTCGAACGTTATGCTGGAGATATCATGTGGCGCCATACAGAGCTTGCAATTCCTGGAAAAGTGGTAAGTTAGTATAGAATATAGTGCTCTTTTTTGATAAATTGTTTTCGGATTAGTTAGTACTTCTCTTTCATTTCTAAATTTGGAGCTGCAGATACGAAAGGTTAGACCGGAGGTGAGCCTGGTGGTGAGAATGGTATCGACTGTAGGGAATTATGATTACATTACTGACTATGAATTCAAACAAAGTGGCTCCATCAAAGTCACGGTAAGTAAACCACGGTCATGAGTAAGACTAGTAAAACGTCTGTTTTAGGCGTAGCTTACACTAAGTATCAACTTTTTCTGAATTCATTGTCATGTACAGGTTGGGTTAACTGGTCTACTTGAAGTAAGGGGATCGATATATACTCATAACGACCAGATAAAAGAAGAAGTGTATGGTACACTAATAGCAGAAAACACTTTAGGTGCATATCATGATCATTTCTTTACCTATCACCTTGATTTAGACGTAGACGGTCATGAAAATTCCTTTGTGAAAAATAACTTAAAAACTAGACGCGTGATCAATAAAAGTTCATCAAGAAAGAGTTATTGGACAGTTGTTAGTGAAACAGCTGAAACAGAATCAGATGCAAAGATTCAGCTAGGTTCATCACGAGGCGCCTTTGAAATGGTAGTGGTGAACCCCAACAAGAAGACTGAGGTTGGGAATGAAATAGGCTACTGTCTGATCCCGGGTGGATCTGCAACAAGTCCATTGTTAAGTGACGATGATTACCCACAAATCCGCGGAGGTTTTACCAAGTACAATGTGTGGGTAACACCTTATAACAAGTCTGAGAAATGGGCAGGAGGATTATATACTGATCAAAGCCATGGGGATGATACATTAGCCATATGGAGCCTCAGGTAATACACGCAATAGATTCTATATAGTACTCTCTTGTTTCAGGTCGTTTGTCTAACTTTCTTTTTAGTCTGTTTCAAAAAGAACGTCTCTTTCCTATTCTGACAACTCTTTAATTCTAACTTTCCGAGGTATTTCTTTTATGATAATGCAGGGATAGGGAAATCAAGAACAAGGATATTGCATTATGGTACACATTTGGTGTTCATCATGTACCCAAACAAGAAGATTTTCCAATTATGCCAACATTAAGCACTGGTTTTGAGCTCAAGCCTACTAATTTCTTTCAGCATAATCCAGTTCTTTAATAAGTCAAGTTGGCAAACTTTGTACTATCATAAATGGATAATGTCCTAATTTATGAAAAAAAATTCTACTACTATTGTCATTAAATAAAGTCAGCTCTTGGCCATGCTTATACTTTATGCATCTAACAATCTTATTGTCACAAAAATGTTATGACATATTTATGATAAATTAAAATAGTCATATAACTACAAAACTAGAAGTTACTATACTAGTAGTACTTTAAGACCTTAAACTTCAAAAATCTTTGTTTTCTTCTTAAAGTTCACATCGTTCAAATTATGTCACATAAATTAAAGCGCGATTAGTATAATTTTTATGATGTATGCCAAACTCAAACATATCTTTCTCTCCGGACAAAACAATCTCGTGCAAATTTTGGAGAGAAGATAAGAGAGACTGTTTCTTCTTTATTTCATTATTTTTTTCTGGATATTACAACGAATTCGACACTCCCTGTGAATGCTCACCACAAAATGAGCTAGAAATGGCCTACAATAACAATTTTCTGGTAAGCAAACTTATATTTACAAAAGAAAAAATGTCTAATAACAATAAAACAAGCACCATATCCAGGAAAAAAGTACAAATACTAAGACATCCATGGTACAAAAGGTACTTTAGTTGTAAATTGAATATTGAAGGAGTAAACAAATATTGATAACTTGTATAGTTGTGTTAAGTGCATTGAGTATATTTGGTTGTGGTGTTTCATCCTCTTCTGTTTCATACTTGTACATGGATGTTTGAATTTGGTATACATCATGAAAGTTATACTCATTGCGTTCTAATTTATATGACATAATTTGAACGACGTGAAATTTAAGAAGAAAACAAAAATATTTGAAGTTTGTGATCTTAAAATACTACTTGAATAGTATCTTATAGTTATAAGACTTTTTAAATTTATCATAAACATGTCATAACATTTATGTGACGATATGACTGTATCATGAGTACAAAGTTTTCACTCAAGAATGAGATGCATAAAGCATGGCCAAGAGCTGACTTTATTTAATAACAATAATAGTAGAATTATTTTTCATAAATGATGACATTATCCATTTATGATAGTACAAAGTTTAGCCCATTTGACTTATTAAAGAACTGGATTATGCTGAAAGAAATTAGTAGGCTTGAGCTCAAAACCAGTGCTTAATGTTGGCATAATTGGAAAATCTTCTTGTTTGGGTACATGATGAACACCAAATGTGTACCATAATACAATATCCGTGTTCTTGATTTCCCTATCCCTGCATTATCATAAAAGAAATACCTCGGAAAGTTAGAATTAAAGAGTTGTCAGAATAGGAAAGAGACGTTCTTTTTGAAACAGACTAAAAAGAAAGTTAGACAAACGACCTGAAACAAGAGAGTACTATATAGAATCTATTGCGTGTATTACCTGAGGCTCCATATGGCTAATGTATCATCCCCATGGCTTTGATCAGTATATAATCCTCCTGCCCATTTCTCAGACTTGTTATAAGGTGTTACCCACACATTGTACTTGGTAAAACCTCCGCGGATTTGTGGGTAATCATCGTCACTTAACAATGGACTTGTTGCAGATCCACCCGGGATCAGACAGTAGCCTATTTCATTCCCAACCTCAGTCTTCTTGTTGGGGTTCACCACTACCATTTCAAAGGCGCCTCGTGATGAACCTAGCTGAATCTTTGCATCTGATTCTGTTTCAGCTGTTTCACTAACAACTGTCCAATAACTCTTTCTTGGTGAACTTTTATTGATCACGCGTCTAGTTTTTAAGTTATTTTTCACAAAGGAATTTTCATGACCGTCTACGTCTAAATCAAGGTGATAGGTAAAGAAATGATCATGATATGCACCTAAAGTGTTTTCTGCTATTAGTGTACCATACACTTCTTCTTTTATCTGGTCGTTATGAGTATATATCGATCCCCTTACTTCAAGTAGACCAGTTAACCCAACCTGTACATGACAATGAATTCAGAAAAAGTTGATACTTAGTGTAAGCTACGCCTAAAACAGACGTTTTACTAGTCTTACTCATGACCGTGGTTTACTTACCGTGACTTTGATGGAGCCACTTTGTTTGAATTCATAGTCAGTAATGTAATCATAATTCCCTACAGTCGATACCATTCTCACCACCAGGCTCACCTCCGGTCTAACCTTTCGTATCTGCAGCTCCAAATTTAGAAATGAAAGAGAAGTACTAACTAATCCGAAAACAATTTATCAAAAAAGAGCACTATATTCTATACTAACTTACCACTTTTCCAGGAATTGCAAGCTCTGTATGGCGCCACATGATATCTCCAGCATAACGTTCGAATATACAAATTACATTAGGCATTTTTCCTGGAGTACCATCTTGTGAAATGAAGTAGCCATCAATAAACTTCGCGTTCTCTGGACAATCCTTTGATGCTTCAAGCTCTACCGCACATAGACCAAATCCATATTCACCTGCATCGAAATAAGTCCTATAGTACCATTCCTCAGTCAAATCCATGTATGGCACAAAAACTTCAGACACAAATCCTCTGTACAAGACACTTCTAAATTCCTCCTTGTCAGCATCGAAGATCGATGCTAGTGATATGATCATTCCTGCTCTCATGTCATATGCTACGTGGAACTTCCAGTCACCCCACCTAAAGTAAGTAAAAAAACATGTCATTCTTCAGCAAAGTAATCTCAAAGTTTCGTCTAACGAATAATAATTTTTACCTCACTGTGTTTCCATTGTCTAGAGTAAAACTTGGTCCATCAGGCTGCACTATTTTTATTGAATTGGATTCATGAGATGATCTTCGCCGCTTTGATCCCATGTAATCTGTCCCATTAGCTTTAGGGACAGGAACAATCAAACGATCAATATAACTCGCGATTATCATTTGATCAAGAAGAACAGTAATTGTAATTCCTTCAATAGGTCTCATATAAAGATTAACTGTTCCATCTAAGTAATAACACATGACTTTAACTATTCTGTTTGTACTCTTCCTTTTCTCTCCATACCATCCAACCACGAAGCCTTGGCACACGACTTCTTTTAGCTTTAGCCTTCTCTTTTTAATGGATGATATAAATGGTGGATACGATAATGGTAACTCATCGGCAGCTGTTTGCTCTTGTAAAGTAAGCATGGGGTAGCCATGTCCATTATAGATTTTATCTGATAAAATTGAAACACTCGATAAGTCTACGATGATTTCATGTGTTTTTTGATCAATTCGAGTAATAACAATAGCTTCGCGAGGTAGAGCAGGATGATCAGTGGATGATAGCCATGAAAGGACTAATTGTTTGTTTGGTTCATTTAAGCCAACATAATGAAAGGTTACATTGAGGGGAAAATAGGAATTTTTGACTATGTTTGTAACTTGAGTGAGTTCAAATAGAGTGAGAGACTCCAATGGGTGGTTGTATTCAAGAGGGGAGGATGAAATAACAAAGAAGAAATAGAAGAAGAAGTGGGAAATCTTGAAGAACAAAGGCATTGTTAGTTGAGAATTTTTGAATCTCAAAATTTGTTGATCCATGAAAGACATAATGCTTACCCTTTATATGGTTTAGGCATAATACATTACCCTTAACTTGGTTTAGCTGTCAGTTATGACCTTTAACTTTGGGTGTGCTCAAGTAGGCACTTAAGCTAGTATAAAATTAAACAAATAGACAAATTCATTCTATATGGGATCCTACATGACAATTTTGTGTACAAAGTGGTGTCCTACGTGTATTATATATGCCTTGTAGGATACTGTGTCTACTTGTTCAATTTTAAGTTGAAGGTATTATAGTAATTTAACATTCAAGTTAGGAGTTCATCCTTTTAAGGTAGTGTATATATATATAGAGAGAGAGAGAGAGAGAGCTAGATAGATAGATAAATAGATAGATATTATCACGTATTTTTACCTATTGCTTCTTAACCTTTCACATTCTTTATTAAGAAAAGTTTAAATGTTTCTATATTAATACTTTTCTATTCTTTGTTAATGGTTAATACAAGAAAAAATTGGAGAGTCCCTACTATAATAACTAGTAACCTTTCTTGATTCTTCTAAGGGTCTTCTTCTAATTACTTTTAGTTGTTTTTATCTCCTATATTTTTGTCTAGCTGGTCCCCTTCAGAATAATAAACATGTGACTTGGTTTGTTCAGTATTCTTTAGTTGTTCTTTCTTTGTCCAAAACAATATATTTCAAAATATTTTCAATTTTTTTAAAATATAATTAAAAAAAGTTTTTAAAAACTTAGTTAATGAGATATTTTTATGATTTACTAGCTCTGGAATAATCAAGGAACACACATTTGAGAATACGAGGGGCTATTATCTTTCACATGATAAATTTGGGTGTTCATGGACAATGACATGAAAGAGCAAGAAAAACTAGCTACTACTGGCTAAAGAATGAATAGTAAATAGGTCATCAAATTGAGTATCTTATACTTTCTTGGCACATGTACAAACACAATAGAGAAAGTGACAATTGGCTAATTTATAAGAAATCATCCAATAATATTGAGGAACTAATTATATCAAAAACAAATATTATGATTAAAAATATGTAGAAGATAAAGGTTATTAAAGAGTAAGAATTTTACAATATTTCAAGCTCTTAATATATGTGACACACGAATAAGTTATCTAGTATATAACAAAGAAGAAATAGAAGAAGAAGAGGGAAATCTTGAAGAACAAAGGCATTGTTAGTTGAGAAGTTATGAATCTCAAAATTTGTTGATCCATGAAAGACATAATGCTTACCCTTTATATGGTTTAGGCATAATACATGACCCTTAACTTGGTTCTGTCAGTTATGACCTTTAACTTTGGGTGTGCTCAAGTAGGCACTTAAGCTAGTATAAAATTAAATAAATAGACACATTCATTCTATATGGGATCCTACATGACAATTTTGTGTACAAAGTGGTGCCCTACGCGTATTATATATGCCTTGTAGGATACTATGTCTACTTGTTCAATTTTAAGTTGAGGGTATTA